AGCAGGAGGGGGCACCCCCAGGCACTGCAGCGCAAACACATCAGAGGCAGCGAGGCACTTAAATCGGCAGTCGGAGACACGGTGCTGCTGGGTGTCATGAGAGCACATCTGCCTGCGTCCTCAGCACAGCTTTCGGCAGAGGAAGGACACACTATCATTTATTGCAGGACACAAACTCAGGAGTGCTGCGTGCAGTTGAAGTTTTACTGGAACAGATCCGGAGGAGACACTGCAGCAGGGAAGCAGCCCTGCCGAGGCTGGTGTCGGTCACTGTAAATGAAAGCAGAGCAGGACCCAGGAGGCCACAGCCACCCCTCTGGCCAGGGCAGCAATTCATACCAGCATGAAGGAAAGGGAAAAGCCAGGGCATTTTGATACAGGGGTATTTGTCACTGGTGTCCCAGAGTAGATAAGGACAGAAAGACCAAGAACCCAGAGCCGATGTGCTGGTCATGGCAGATCTAGTGCATTTACAGCCCCCTTACGGGCCAGCTCCCCTGCCCCATCACCGCTTCAGAGGCTGCTGCTGGCAGATGACGTGAGCTGAGAGCAAGAGAGGACAGGGGACTGCCGTGCATTGACCTCCAGCGAGAACAGGAAGGCTGGAGACTTTCCGCCTACAATAGCAAAAGTGTGTAGAACATGGAGGTGCTGGGAGCACCCCTGCCCTGGAGTAACCAGGCAGAGGCCAGGGCAGCAGAGACACAGCAGCCCACTCTCCTCCCAGCGCAAGGTCAGGCTAGCAGGAGGCAGGTCAGATTTAAAAACCCAAAGAAAGGTTAAATTCGGCTAGCAGGAGGCAGGGCAGGCTTTAAAACACAAAGAAATGTTAAATGCCCAAGCTGCTGCGTAGTGCTCGCAAAGGGGATGCTGGAAGATGTTTTGATAAATATTTGCTGTGTAAGGCTTTATCTGAAGGCCATGCACGTGTGCTCACCACCTTGCTGGGGATTGTCCTATAACCGGGGTTGTTTTTCCCCACACTATCCAGAGCAGAGGTATGTCACAGTGCCATTAATCTTTGTGCTGCACTGACCCAAATGTTCAGTGTTACCCTGCAGCTGCTTCCTGAGATAGCCTTCCAGGTAGCCCGGCCACACTCTGCTCCGTCAGCAGGACGGGCTCCAGCACCACCTCCAGGACTCATATAGCAGGTCAGCCCTGGGATGGCAGGAGGGCAAGCCTAAACCCGGCTGCTCCCGTCTCACACAGATCCAGCGCTCAGCAGCACAAGGCCCTGGTCAATCCCACACATCCAGCACCAGCCCTTGGAGACTGCAGCCATATGCCTTGTGTTGCCCGGGGTTGTGCTGTCAAGCCCCAGCAGCAGGAATCTTGGGTTGAAAAGAGACTCAGCTTTGAAGAGAGGTTATTTCTTACAGTTAAAAATTGTGACCGTGACAGGCTTGGAGGTTAGGCAGCGAATAAATTCACAAACTCCAGTTTGTGAGTTGTGATATTTTAACAGACTGTCACTTGGGAGGGTAAACCACCCATGAGGGTTTTTTTGAACAATGAAGTTTCACATGGCTTTCCATGAAATTCTCCTGGAACCAAGCTGATTTCTTCTCTTCCCTACCAGTATCACCCATAACAACCTCCAAAAACCAAAAAATAAGCTGGCACGCACAGGTGGCCCTAGGTCAGCCCAGGCTTTTCACAGCTGGAAGAGCAACCAGCTGTGTTTCTGCAGCACTGACTCTGCACTGCCAAATCCAGACTGAAAAAGCAGCAAATACAACTTTCAGTGCTAATATAAGAAATCCTGGGTGGTTCCTCTGCAGCACAGGCCAATGAGCCTAGAAGCAGCATTTGCCCAGCCGTCCTTGGCAGGCAGCTGAGCCTCAAGCCCCTCACCACAGGTTTGTGACCCTGGCTGTACACCAGGCCTGGTTTTACCTCCATGACATCATTCCATTTGATATTCCAACATCATTAAATACTAGCAGACATTTCAAGAGCTGTTCTTGTGAAGCAGAGGGGCTGGGATGAGGTGATGAAGGTGCAGTTGGCATGTTTGGTAACGCGATGGGGGAATAGCCCTGGGCTGGCCTGACATGTCTCTGAGGAGAGACCCTTTGGATGCTCAGCTCTGCAAATCCCACCAGCCTCAGCTAGAAATGGATCACAGAGCAGAGACCAGAGGGACATTGTAACACTTTGCTGGGCAAGTGCACAGCCACCGGGGATGTCCCTGGCTGCTGAGAACAGGGACAAGTATGGGCACAAGTGAAACAGCTCTTTGGAGAAAAGAGGAAGTCAGCGCCCCGCACACACCCCCAGCTTATCTGCTCAGCAGCAACGTCATTCTCATGAGATTTATGTTCCATGAGTTGAGGACAGCAGCATACCATTGGTGACAAGCAAGGACTCCAATGACTCCTCAAATAAGCAGCCTGTTAGAAGTTTCTGCAGCAAGAAGAGAAATGCCTGAGATAAGACAGCTGGTACATTTCTCCCTCAATTTGTTTTCCAGCAAGGACAGAGACCCACTCTCAACCGGGCGAAGCTGCCAGAGGATATCAGGAGACAAAGCAGCAGAGAAGCTGGTTTTACTCTGCTGCTCACTTTGCCACCCTGTGGACCATCACCACCGCCACAACCCACCCGTTACTCTGCACTTTGCCACCCTGTGGACCATCACCACCCCCACAACCCACCTGCTTTCAGGGAAGCCCTGCACAGCACACCCATGGCTGAACAGGTATGTTAGCTGCAGCTGTGCTGCACTAGTACATTTGCATGCAGCTGTGCTCACAAGCATGAGGAGGATTTAAACTAGCAGCAGAATCACACAGCTTGAAGTGCGAGGCAAGACAACTTTGCCACCCTGTGGACCATCACCACCCCCACAACCCACCTGCTTTCAGGGAAGCCCTGCACAGCACACCCATGGCTGAACAGGTATGTTAGCTGCAGCTGTGCTGCACTAGTACATTTGCATGCAGCTGTGCTCACAAGCATGAGGAGGATTTAAACTAGCAGCAGAATCACACAGCTTGAAGTGCGAGGCAAGACAAACCCAGCTTCCCAAACCCATAGCCTCAAGGCCCTTTCTGTTCTCTGCAGCTTCAGCACTCCAGTCACAGCACAGGGTCACGTTATTTCCAGAAAAACTCTGGGATTCCTATGCTCTTTCAGCAGCCTTGCCCTGGAAGTTTCAAGGCTCATTTTTTTCCTAATGTCTAACCTGAATTCCCTCAACTATTTTAAGGCCCGTGCTGTCTCACCCACAGCTGGCACACAGGCTATATCCCCTTCCTTGCCATTGCTATTTACATATCTCACTGTTTACGTTGCCCTTCCTCCAGGCTAAGCTGCCTCAGTTCCTTCCGCTGCTCCCACACCTCAATCATCCCTGCTCCCTCCCAGACTGCCTCACCTGGCCATCACACCCAGAGCAGTACTGGTGCTACCACAGGAGCTAAGGCCTTCACTGGTTAGGGATTAGGAACAGGAGTTGAGGCCACACCACACTCCCAACTCCACATAACACCAGGCTGGCTCAGCGAGAGCCACTGGGGCTCAGAGCCCTCAGCCAAGCACTGCTTTCTCACTTCCCGGTGCTCCTGCCCGGGTGCAGCGCTGACACCTGTCTCTGCAGAATTACACGGCATTTACTTTCATATTATTTGCCCAGGGGCCTCTGCTGTAGTCACAGTTTCCCTCCACCCCAACGGTGGAGAGAGGTATGCATTTCACTAAGCCATTAAGGAAACATTCTCCAAGGCCCAGGAGCCTCACCACATTCCTCCAGTGACATTAGCTACACTTCATTAGTTTTCCAGCTAATTTTAAACCGATCTGCCTCCTTGTGGGAGTAGCAAAAACCTCAAGACAACAGATGTTTTGCTGTCTCTGGTAACTTCTCAGATTAGATGCTTTGCAAGTAATCCAGCACTCGGTGCTTGTTGCCTAAACAAGTACCAAACCAGTTTATTTCTGGCTGCCAAAAAATACCCTCTCCTCCCGAGACTGGGCCCAGGCACATCTCAGTTGCTTTAGGCACACTGCTGAGACACCCAAGTGATGATTAGATACACCCTGAAGAAAAAACCCATCATCCACAAAATGCAGTGCTGAGCACAGGTAGACTTGCCACTAGTGGGACAAGAAAGAGGGGACACTACCTCTGAGAACATCCTCAAAGGCGTGTGCAGAGTATACCCAAAGTAACAAAACTCACCTCCTCTCAAAATTATTTCATTACTTCAAAGTATTTAAAGACTTTATTGCTAAGTTTTACCACTTTGTCCCACCCATCCTCCCCAAGTCTCCAGCAAATAAAAGATGTGGCAGAAAAACTACTTGTAAGAGGCTTGGAAAGGAAATAGTTGTTCAAAGCCAAAAAACCACACGTCACCAAGATTAAACTCCCTACTGCAGGTAACACCAGCAAACCATGTCTAACATCAGTCTGATCTGAAGTGGCAAGAGCAAGCATTACCAGTTAGGCCATTACAGCTGCTTGTACCCTCTAACATCAGTCTGATCTGAAGTGGCAAGCATTACTCATGCATGTTAGCCCTGACAAGATGCTCCTGAACAGTTTTGCCAACCGCAGGTAGCACTGAGGAAAAGCATTACAAGTTCCACAAGTGGTTGTTCTCCGTAGACACAGCACATTTCAAGCCAAGTTAAATCCCTGAGCCCAGATAATGCATTGCAAAGCCACCGGGAGTCACACACTGGGCTCAAGGGGTCAAACTCTGAACTTTCCAAATACCTGCAGAATTACCTGCTTCAAGATGTCCGCAGCACTTGTGCCAGCAGCTTTCAGTGAGCAAACACAAGCAGCAAGCTCTCCAAGGCACTTCAAATGCTAAAGGTTGCTGAATACAGTTAGGCAAAGGAGCAGAGTTTAAGGCTCTGCGAGCATCTTTTCCCCTCATATCCCCAACTCATTTATTATGATTTTTCAATAAAAACAAGTTGAGAGCATGTGCAAAGCACTGGATGTGTAGTCTTCAATTGCTGTACAGTGTATACAAGTATGGATATAAACACCTGCAAATTTTATTGCAATCAAAGCCCTTAACCATATCAGAAATTAAAGGGAACATGATGAAGTAATACAAGAGAGTTGCTCTGGAGTGAGAATGCATCAAAGTTGAATACAAGCATTAGAGTGCTTTAACTTTGCATCCAAAAGCAGTGAAGAAGTTTACATCTTGCATAAATTCTTGCTAGATAAAGCTGATCACACTTACTCTTCTCCCATGATTTGGCAAGGTGGAAATTAATCCTTGAGTTTAAAGTATCTGAATTTGGCAACATGAAATTTAACCTGCAACTCCGCTGAGGTAATTGCTTATCAAGAGGTCACTGTCTTACAGTCCTCCACTTTGTCCAACAAGGAAATTGCACCATACATCTTTCATAGGAAAATATTTACACAGAAAATTTAAACTATTGTTGAAGCAATTTAACAATAGATCTTTCCTAAAAATCTGCTAATGCATATCTAGCAAATTTTTTTGAGATCCTACACTCAGTGTAATTTAAATAGCATTTGAAACATTCCAACAGGAATCACATCACACAGAAGAAGCAATTTGCTTCCGTAACATTTTTGCACACCTGCTTAGAGCCTGTGCATTTAGTGCACAAGTTTGCAATGCCAAGCCACTACATAGGTACCTAATAAGTGCTACAGAACAAAGTTCTTCGGAATGAGGGCAAGCATCTTTGTCTCTAGGCTGTAATGACTTAAGGCTTCTTGCAGCTTTGTTTGCTCAGTCAGTGAATCACTCAGTCAGTCATCCACTTTCACTCCTGGTTTGGAGTTGGTATCCGATTCACTCAGGTAGACTAAAGCCCATTGCAGTTTCAGACGAGTAGACTGGTGACAAGTCAGTTGCGGGTCACTCCAGGCCCTTCTGGAAGGAGAGATGCAAAGAAAGTCTTGAAAAAAACCCATGCTGTGCTCATAAATGAAGGGTTGGCCTGCTGCAGTTCTTGTAAAACTTGTCCCTCATCAGGAGACGCCTCAGATTCATCTGCTCTGCCTGCATTTCCCCCCTGCCAAAATAAAGGGTATTTGGTAAGCGAGATCATTGCACAAATGAGTTAGAAGTATCAGGTGTCAAACCACATATTTTGTTACCCAAATTTCACTGTCAGAATATAAAAAGCATTCAAGTATCCCCAGACAACCACAAAGTTGAAAAAACAAGCTGCACTCTAGCATTGTTGGTTAACTCGTGCTGTGTCCCCAAGAACACTGCTTAGGACAGACATGAAGCACCTGATCAGGTAAACTATGTATGCATTTACAATTAAGTGACTTCCACTGACATCAGCCAGAAGCATCAGCTTGAAGTGCGAGACTCAGATTGCTTATATACTCAAATCCTATCACTGAGCAGTCTAAACGCTGTCCTCAGATACAGAGCCTGTTCAGCCTGTGACAGACCACTCTCTCCATTACAACATCCTAAAGGCCAGAAACAACTAGAAATAACATTCAGCCCGAGATAATTTGTAGAACAGAAGAGTTAACTGCAAAGGAGGAAGCAGGCTGGCAATTATTCCTCCATGGAAGACAGTTTCTGATGAAAGTTTATAGAATAAAGTTTTTGCTGCTACATTTAATTAGTAAACTAAAAGCAAAACTTCACAGGGTTTCATGCTCTTGGTTTAAAAAAATACCAAGACAGTACCTGTAAGTTATTGTTCTGGTCCTGGTTTACAGCAGCTTGAGGAGGAACATTGCCTGGGAGGGGCTGAACTTGTCTTTGTCTAAATGGAAGCCATCCAACATGGTGCCTGGGGAAGCCAATAGATTTTTTTATTAGTATTGGTTAAAAAACCTCCATGTCACACCAACACAGTTCAAGTAGCATCTGACTGCTCAGAGCTGCAGACAGCAAGTTCAGCACATGAAGGTCTCTTTCTGCCCTGACCCAGTAAGTACTTTCAAAGCCTCCTGTTAGCAGCAAACCATGAGGTAGGAGCATCTGCTCGCACTCAAAAAAAGTAAGCAGCACTACAGCCAGGTTTGTATCTACTTAATCAGGGCTCAGCCTGCTCAAACACACTGCTACAGGTATCAAGAGAGTTGAAACCTGCCTGTTTACCATGTTACATACAACCCAGGGTAACTTCTCTGTACTCACCCTAAAAAGGGGCACAAAGAACATGCAAAACAGCACTATCTTACCAAAACATAGCAGGCCATATAGACCTTCTTAGAAGGTCTGTATCTCTACACAGCACCTGCACCTCATAACCCACAATGTAAGCTGTTCAAAGTTACACTGTAGAATTATCAATAGTAAAATTTAAGGACTTTTAATGAAGCCATTAACCTTCACTCTCCAAGTCTGCATAGAGGTTGGAAGAGCTCATCATTTGAGCTGCTCCAGTTTCAACTCCTAGACCCACCAACAGGAACTGAGGCCTACATCGCTTGTTTCACTGGTGATCAAAGAATTTGAGGGGACAGATTATCTCTCAGACAAGACATCCTGAGCACATCAACTGAAGGCCCATTATCTTTATTGTGCTTTTAAGATTTATCCTAAGTTTTCCCCACAAGAGAGGCTCAAAGGCAATTCAGGACACTGCATTCAGTTTAGCTTGGTCTGCTCCCCAGAGAGGCAACACACAGCAGAACTTCCCACACAGGTACATGACTTAGGTAGCGAGTGTGAGACCCTCTTCCCAACAAGCTTCAAACACTTGTTTCCCCCTAACAAGCAACTGTCATTTACTACGTCAAACCTACATGTCTGCTCTATACTGCTGAGCTGCTGGGGCTTCACACTGAGAGCTACTTAGCTTTCAAGCAGTTTTCCAAGAAGAAAGCCAGCCACACCAGAAGCGTTAGTACAAAAACCAGATAAGATCACCCACTATCACCCACTCTTCATTTAATCCAGGCATGGGCTATAGTTATATTTTTGCTAAATCCAGTTATAGCAGGATAGAGAAGTGGTTCGCCCTTTCCAGGTACAAGAGCCACATGAAGCTCAACTGCCAGAAAAAGCTGACCGCAGCACAGAGCTCAGCACTTCAGTGACACATTTCTGAAAACAGGAGTAAACGTTAATACCATACACTTACAGATACATCAGAACAGTGCCACCCATAACCAGGAGGAATCTGCTGACACTGGAGTAGAAATAGATAATGTTGACAAAAACATAGAACAGTGTTGCTGAGTAGAGCCAGTCCAACCAATCTCGATTGCCACCCTCCTCCTCTTCCTCCATGAGGGGACCCCCTTGGGCATTCATCCGCAAGTTCTGGTTGGCCGCTGCGTTAACCTGGGCAGCAGCGTTCTGGTTTCCAGGCTGATTTTGTGCAGGAAACGGGTCTGGGAGAGGAGCCGGGGGTGTCACCGGCGCCACCGGTATCTCCTGAGAACGTCGTGTATGGGATGGGTCAGCAGATGCAGCAGTAGAAGCCAAGCTAAAACCAGAGAACACAGAGTACAGAATAAGGCTTAGTCAAATCCTTCCACACTTAACACAGGCACTGAAAATTCGTCCATCTTTAAGTATAGAGTCAGATCACATGCAAGTAGAAAGCATCAAGTTTAGAGGCTAGAGAAGGGTTAAAAACAAGTTTTAGTCCTACCCATGACAACAGTTGCATAGTTACATAATCAAACCAGGCACCTTCCACTTTATGAACAGTAATTTCAATACTCTGCAAAAAAATTCCTTAGAGCAATCTAAAGGTAGTCTAGAAGGCTGCTGCAAGTCTCAGCTTTACCTTTGTCACTGATTTCCAGTCAGCGCTCTGTCTGCTACTTTAAGCAGTCAAAAAAATGGTGGAGAGCTCAGACCCACCAGCAGGACTACATTTAACTCTACAGACACCTGCCCTCCCAGTCAAGAGTCAGAGCTCTGCAATTTGCAAGATTCAAAAGCACTGGCCTAAACAGTAAGCCAGGCACCACACGACAGTTAGAGGTACATTCCCACACCACTCAGTGTAAGTTACAACGAAAAAGCCTTCCAACCACCATCAAAAGAGGAAGAACTGCCAGAAGCTTTCTACTTCCTTGTATTACATTTCCTACTTTCTACTGGTAGCTTTGGACAGAAAACTTACTATTGCATGTAATATTGTCTTGCATAAATCTGCTGAAACCAGGACATCTGAAGCATGCTGTAGGTTGTATAAGCAGAGAAGCCAGGAGCCACACTCTGGAAGGGATGCCGAGTCGTTTCAAGCCTTGGTCAAAATTTGAACACATTTATTAGCAAATACTGGACAAACGGCAAGAATCATTTATTACAGGACAATGTAAATAGCTTCTGCCATATTGTGCATCCAAATGCAAAATTAATTCTTCCTTCTAGAGTATTAAAGACATCTCTTCACCCACATGAATAAAGGGAAGATTTTCAACTAACAGAGCAGTGCATTTTCCTTTAGCTTCTTCCATGTCCACTAAAGCTTTTATATATAACCTCATCACCTTTGGCCCATCTTCTATGGACTTAAGATAGTATGCATGGCAGAAGCAGCTGGCATCCAACACAAAGCCAACATTTTAAAAATCTAAGTGATATACGTAAAAAATTGTATTTACCTGTTACTGGCTTCTGCCGGAGACTGGCCACCAGAAGAGCATCTCAGTCTTTCACCATTTGAGGAAGATACAGATGGTTCTTGACTAGCTTCTGACGATAGCTTTGGCTGATCGGCTTTAACCTAGGGACAGCAAGGCAGTTAGCGAGGTTTATTCAGGACACTACGCAAGCCTTATGCAAAAAGGTTACACCATACAGAACATGCTCTTATTTTATAACTGCTACACCGTTCAGGCACTTTGTCCTGCACAGTACCGACACTGCTCTTGGGCACCATGCCACAAGCACCTCCATCCGTATTTTAAAGCTCCTTTAAAAATGACTGGCATGTAAAACTGACTCGATGTTACTCTTCACTTTCACCAGATCTACACCTGTATTTATTAATTTACACATGCAGACAGGTCCCATCTGGTTATAAAAGTGTAATTGGAACAAACAGAGGGAACTGTGCTCAAAGACAATTTGACTTTTTAGCTATGACAAGTTTGTACTGGTATACACAAACTGCTGTACACAGAATTCAAGAGCAGTTTTGCAGCGATACATCTGTATAACATCCAGACCAAAGCCGGCTCACATCTAGCAAACACCAGACATGGGCAGGATAAGCTCAAATTGCCTATAGCAGCCAATATAAACACACCTCTAGACACATTAGCACGTCCACTTGAAAGTAAAAATTGGTTTTGGCCATTTGCACTTAAGACCAGTAAGTACTCAGTTCAAGCGCTAAGGCTCATCTTTGGCTTCTTCTCTACAGGCCAAGTCATTAATGAGAGCAGTTAAGAGTGCCTTCAGCTAACCGCCTTCTTCCTTCCCCACACCCCGATTACAGATCAGAACCGCTTCCACTCTGTAGCTACTATGTCTTCTGCCCACAAGCACCACCTCTGGCCAAAAGAGCCTGGGAGATGACAGCTCATGTTCTATTTAACAGAACTGAATTTACCAGAAAGCATTTCTCCTGAGCAGCGATTATAGTTTTGATATTTCTCAACAGATGCCATGAGAATCTTTACTGATGAACTGTAGAGTCAATTTTTTTACTCAGCTTAATCCAATACATTCTCACATTCCTAAACAAATTATCACAAAGTAATGCTGCCACTGCACTAGCAGGAAAAAGCTGCAGTATCAGCGAACTTTAAAATAGCTATTCAGTACTTCCCTTTTTTAGTCACAACCCTAAGATTCAGAGTAGTGTATTAACTTAGCATGAGTACCTCTGCATTGGCTTCTTGCGCATTTGCAGGAGTCTTGAAGTTGTATACCAAATGAAGAGCATGCAACTCCCCCTGCTAAAATGTAAGGGAAGACATGTTAAAAAAAAATCACTTTCCTTGATATACTTCAGCATGGCATAAAAGATTTTTTTTATACCTTTGGCAGCAACTCTCTCAGATAATGATGATCAAGCATCAGCTTCCCAGAATAAATCAGCTTTTGGTCCTCTTCAGGCTTTGAAGAAAACAAAGAATAGGATGACTTACTCTGCCAAGCACATGAAAGCATTAACTGACACAACTTGCAGCCAGATGGACAGAGGCATGCAGCTGGAAGCACCCCACACATTAAGGTGCACAGGGAATTGTGCACATCTAAATTCAGCTCATGAGATGAGAACAACTGAATACCGAAGTGCAAGATTACCAACACTGAGGTCTAAATCAGCAGGAGGATATGAAACACCCCTTTGGCAAAGAACTTTGTTACATGCTGTCTCTTCTACAGTCTGGACAAAAATGTTCGTGTTTCTTAGAAACAGAGGTTTGGAGTACCATCTAATCTGATCAGCGCTGGAGGTGGTGTCAAACAGATCTGTTACACCCCATCGGATGAACCCAGCAGCTGTTCACCTAGAGCCTTCCTACTGCAGCGCAGCAGGCAGCGAAAGCACACTGATCCCGTTTCTGGGCAATCGCCTCGCTCCTAGGGAAGGCGAGGCAAAAAAGCACATCCTCCTGCCGAAACACCGTCCCCCGGGTGCAGCGGAGCACAGCAGCGCAACGCTCACGGAGCTTTCCTGGCGCCGGCTCACAAGACCCGGGGCTTGAAAGCAAGTCAAAACTCCTGCATTTTCACCGCCAAACGTCTCCACAAACCCAGGCGCCTCGCCACGCGCGGGGCGGGCTGCTTCGCCTTCAAGGGGGAAAGAGCTCCCCAAAAAAAGCG